GCTGGTACAGCCCCTTTGGATGCCAGTGTGGCAATTTCTCAGAAAATTAGGAAACAACTTTCCTCAAGACCCAGCAATACCATTTTTGGGTATATATCCAAATATATCAATCGTGCCACAAGAACATGTGCTCAACTATGTTCATAGCAGCTTTATTTGTCATAGCCAGAACCTGGAAACAACCTAAATGTCCCTCGATCGAAGAATGGATAAGAAAAATGTGGTACATTTACATAATGGAGTACTACACAGCCAAAAAAAATAATGATAGCTTGAATTTTGCAGGAAAATGGATGGAGTTAGAAAACATTATTTTGAGTGAAGTAACCCAGACACAGAAAGACAATTGTCACATGTACTCACTCATAGGTGGCTTTTAAACATAAAGCAAAGAAAGCCAGCCTACAAACCACAATCCCAGAGAACTTAGACAACAATGCGGACACTAAGAGAAACTTACATAGATCTAATCTACATGGGAAGCAGAAAGTAGAAAAAGACAAGATCTCCTGAATAAATTGGGAGCATGGGGACCTTTGGGGAGGATTGAAGGGGGAGGGTAGAGGCAGGGAAGGGAGCAGAGAAAAATGTAGAGTTCAGTAAATATCAATAAAATAAAATTTAAAAAAGTATTTGGATTACAGGCATGGGCCTGACTTTTTTAATGTTGACAACTGCTTCTGATAAAGTATATGCTACAGAGAAAAATAGAATATTGAAGGGTAAACTTGGCATATGGTCAATGATTTGCGATCTTAATCCAAACTAAGCCTTATTAGGTAAAAGTTATGGCTGCCTGCAGAGAGAGGGGATTTTGGAGCGGCCCTGTCATTTGGTGAACACTGATGCGGGGGGAGGAGTAAACTGATCAGGTGGGGTGGGTTAAGGGGAAGAGTTTTGTTCTAGACTTGGCTGATCCTGAGTGTTTAAGAGACACTCAGGATACAGTGAGCTAGAGACACGAAGGTCAGGTGTGTCCTAGAGACTGAAGGTCAGGTGTGTCCTAGTAAGATCGCAGTGGAGGAACTCAGAGAGAGCTAATGCTAATGGGACAAGATTCAAAGATGGTGGGCATCATCCTGGATAACTCAAAGGTCGGGCAAAGTGGGGAGCAAGAGTTCTTAAGGAACAACAACAACAAGGTGTTCCCGGGGAAAAGCCAGGATAGCTTAGCATCATGGAGTCGGGAGAAGAACCATCAGGCACATTAAACATGTAACTCTCAGTCAGTGAGGATGGCCCAATCCCTGCTGGGCTTGGCTGTGTGTCACCAGAGACACCATCCTGATTAGAAGACAATGGGTTTGGAGTCAGACTTGAATTTGGAGTCCAAGTCTGCCACTCACTGCATAAATCTAGACCTCCTAAAAATCTCTCAGGACCCTGTGAGCAGGAGAATGTGATTTACTCCAATGTTTGCTTGTTTCAGCTTTTTGAGATGGGTATTCTGTCGTCCAGGTTGGCCTTGAACTTGTGATATAGCCAAAGATGCCCTTCACCTACTGATCATCCTGCCTCTACCTCATAGACAGAATTGATAGAATTTAATGTTAAACAGTAAAAAGACACTGTAGAGGTTTGAGTGTGTAGGTGACATGCTTCATCTTGGAGAACAGACTGAGGAGACCACAGTGGAAGTTGCTGAGCTTGAGATGGGGAGGAGGAAGATGTAGGCGTCAAAGGCTCAGATGGGGAAACTTGGGGCTCTTCCACACCACAGTCAGCAGACTCAGTCAGCCGTCTGGAATGAAGCTTGAGGACCTGACTTCTAAACGCTGCCCTAATCAGGTAAGTGGACTGTGGGGTATTTCTTGATGTGGGAAGCCCCTGAGGAGTGGGTTAAAAAGATGTCTGTGTACAAAATGAGAACTCAGGGCGTGTTAACTCAGGGAGGTCAATCAGACCTGGAAGGCAGTCACGCTCACCGCTATCCCACCAACACGACCAGACATCCATCTATCCATCTGCAAAGTCAAGCGGGCTCCAAGGTATGAGAAGGGAAAGATAAAAGCTAGAAATGGTACATTTTGGGGTGGTTATCATTGTAGGGTCATATGTAGTAGACAGAGAAAAAGACCAGAATGATGAGTGAAGTGGCTCACATAAGAGGCAGCGGCAGGAGGATCTCAGTGAGCTAGAGGCCAGGCCTGGGCTACACAGAGAGTTCCAGGACAGCCAGAACTACATAGAGAGACCCTGCCTTGGAAAAAAGGGGGGCGGTGGGTGAGTTATCTGTATTTTGGAGGCCAAGCAGAGGCAGGAAGTTAGGGAGAAAAGGTGGCAAGAGAGAAAGGAGCAGGGGCTGGAGAGATGGCTCAGAGATTAAGAGCACTGGCTGCTCTTCCAGAGGTCCTGAGTTCAATTCCCAGCAACCACATGGTGGCTCACAACCATCTATGGTGAAATCTGGTGCCCTCTTCTGGTGTGCAGGCATACATGCAGGCAGAATGCTGTATACATAGTAAATAAATCTTTAGAGAGAGAGAGAGAGAGAGAGAGAGAGAGAGAGAGAGAGAGAGAGA